AGGTTAGCTGTGGTTGTTCAGCGGTAGGACACATGGTGATTCTTCAAGATAAATCTGAAAGTTTTGAATGTTATTATGCGCCATTGAGTTGCCTTCAACTCAGATGGGTCCTCTAGAGTAGAACTGCCGAGTGGGGTTTTCAAGGCTGTTAAACTTGACAGAAGCAAACTACTAGTTTCTTTCTCCCATGGAGCAGCCGGTGGGTTCAAACGGCCTACCTTTGGGTTAGCAGCCCAGCACTTAACCAGTGTGCCATACGAGCTCCTTAAGTCATGAGTAGTCTGAATGAGCTTTGCTTGGGAAACTGAGAAATCTACCGGCTGTGTATGAAGGTACTTACTTTATTCATATCTCAGTCTCTCAGATAGCCACTACTGAACTTTCCCCTAAAAGCCGGTAGCTGTTTTTCCTAACCCCCTTGTTTCTGTCTCCTTAAACAGTTCTTGTAACCGTACAGTCGTGAGTTTGTGCCAGTGATAGTGCCTGGGAAACTCGGGGATGGTACACAGAGCATTCTCTTGTACAGGAGGAGGAGGGCCGGGAAAGTTCAGCCAGCCCACTGTGACATAGAACTTCCTGATAGCCAGACTTTGAAATTCTATTCTCCTAAAGCTAACTCCTCCCAACTGGCACAACTTCAGAGCGAAAGGAATCACTTTGGATACTCTTTTCTCGCCTACAGAAATTTGCTCTTAAGTCTTTTTCATTTTTCAGTTGAAGGTACTTTGACCAAAGAATTACCTACTCTGTGTGAATAGCATGGTTCCCAGTGAACTGGAGAAAATCTGCTATAAAACCATGGTAGTTGCCATAGTGGTAGAGTATATTGTTAAGATGTAGCAGCAGTTAGTTATAGGATTATTTATTAATATTTACTTCCTTCATCTACATAACTGCCCATAGTTGCTTGGTGCCAGAGCAGAGTAACCCCTCTCTCTCTCTATGATTGTAGCCACTTGCTGTATGATAGGTGTTTAAAATAATAATAATAACTCATTCTAGCCCTCGTTCTTATTGAGGTAGAGACAGTGACTAAATTATGTTTTAAAACCAGAAAGCAAATAGTCCGGCCCATGTGCCTGATTCAAGTTCATAGCTTCTGATTGGATCTAAGGTTTCCCGAACCAGCCGTTCTTCCCAGCATCTGAATGATCGCCCTGTTTGTGCTCTGCCCATGTAGTTTTCCTAAGCAGAGGGCAGAGGGAGGGGTCCCTACACCATGTCATCTATGAGCTTCAATACCGGAAAAATATTTTTTTTTGTAAGTATCCCTGACTGGCTTGAATGTGTTTGCCACATGTGTGTGTTTGTATGTGTAGAATGTTTATGTGTGTTTTACTTATATATGTCGAATGGTACCTTGCTATGGTATTTGTGACAGCGTAATCCTGAAATACTTGGCTAATCTCAGCCGCACGATAGCATTATCCCTGTTATATTCCTCACTAATGTTCTCTCCGTGAACTCCTGGAAGTGCTGGTGGGTCTCGAGGAGAAAGGGCCCTTTGGAAGCTGCTGTAAACTGTTGGTATCGTTGAATCCAGCAACAATTCCCAAGGTTGCTCTGGCATGATGTTGCCTTTTTTTTTTTTTAAGCTTTTTTTTAATCAATTTATTGGGGCTCATAAAATTCATCACAATACATAGATCAGTTGTGTAAAGCACATCTATACTTTTGTTGTCCTCATCATTCCCAAAATTCGCTTGCCTCTTGGGTTCCTATCTTTTGGACTTGGGCTCAGAGTGGCTCTCCCAGGATATTTCAGGAGGTTACTTATTAGTGAATGTGGCAGCCACGAGTTTATCCCGCATGAGGCTTTCTCTGGTGTGACTTGATCCCGAGAGCCTGGCTCGTGGGCAGCCACGCTTCCTATTGTCAGGGTTTCCTCTCTGCAGTGTCTAGTCTGAGAGAGTGGAAACCTTTGCAATGACAGCTGCTCCCAGCCTGCTGCTGCCCAGCCCACGGTACGGGGGGGCCTCCTCTCCCTCCTCCATTCCTTCGGAAGGTACTCGCCTCCTAGCTCTTCACCCCCCTCTGTTCCTTACCCCTACCTCAGCGCCCAGGAGCCTTGGGATTACTCTCCTTATCATCAAACATGACTCTCTAAATTATTCATTCTTATTCTATAAAATCGTGATGCTCATTAGTCTTTTTGCAAATCAGAATCATAGAAGGGGCCCACATAGAAACTGTTAAGAGTGTTCAGAGATTTCCGCCCCCACCCCCACCTCAAATGCTTGCTTTTACTGAGGCATGAGGAATTCCTTGTTCGCGGGATCAAACTCCCTTAGAAGCATGCAGGGTCCTTATTGTATTGCTAGGCCAGAGGCACTGTTTGGGTGAGCGTTAGAAAAAATGATCGATGTACATCGATGTAATTTTACAGGGCCTGTGCCATCCTCTCTGGGTCTCGTAGGTAGAGAGGGTGGCAGGTAGCGGGGCCACTCGCCAGACCCTCTGTGCTTCTCAGACTGCTGTGCCAGTCCAGGAGGGGCTGTTTCCGCGTCAAAAGCGACAGGAGGGGGGAATACCGGAAGAGGAAAATCCGCTGACTTCCTAAAACGTTGACCTCGTAAGTTTGTGCTTTGCTTTCTGCCCGAATCACAGAACTTCTGAGGTGGGGAAGAATCTCCAGGAGCTCTTTGCCGCCTGAGCACAGTGGACACTTTCCTCCTGCAACCTGCCCATTGCCCCTGCTGGGTCTCCCGAAGTGGGGACAATAAGGTCCTACGCGGGGTCCGCCACCAGGGTGCTGCGGGCACCCCCTCGCCGCCCCGTCACCCAGTCACATGGGAGCACACCGGCCTTGAGGCGCCATGGCCAGTGTGTTTCTGGGGTGGACTAGCTGCTGTTGGGGGTTTCCTTTCTTTGGCATTTTCCCCTCTCTTCATTCGCCCCCGTGTTGTTTTGCTACTGTGGACCGACGCACGTGCTCAGCAAGTGGAAGGACTCAGCATTGAGCACTGAACCAATCTCCTCGCTTTTCAAATGGCAGAATTCTTTTGTCGTTGTTTTCAGCATTCCCTAGTTGCAAAACCAACCCCGTAAAACCAAGAAAGAAACACAAACAGTGGGATTGTAGAGCTTGTTCAAAGCCTAGTTTATGAAGAGTAGCGCTTTCATAGGGTTTGCTAAAACATCAGATTTTCGTACAGAGCATCCATTCTAAGTTACTCTGGCGAAAAACGGATTTGCATGGTAGCAGATGAGGTTCTATGCCTCCTTTGCATCACAGTTCTCTGCACGTCTCTTCTCTCAAACCAGACTCCTTGCTCTCCTTCGCCTGCCCAGCTCAGCAACCGCCTGCCTGCCAGTCCTTAGCCACTTGCAACTTGAGGTTCCCCAGAGGACTTCGGAGACCAATGGCTTCCCACAATACAGTCCCAACAGATGTTCCTGCTTCTGCTCAGATTCCTTGTTTGTCTCTTTCTTTCCAAGGGATGCCGCAAAGCCAAGGTTCGCATCCTTTTGTTCCTGAAGGTACCCGTGACACAAGTGGGCACCCTTCTATTAGGCCCATACTTGGCCCATTCATAGCATGCAGAAAGAATGCCTTCCTAGAGAATGTCAGTAAATACTTGAATCTGCAGGACAGTTTGTGGACTTGAACGCAGCAGCAAGAGATATTGCAAGTTAGGTAATTGTACATACAAATAAGGTTCCTTGAGTCTTTCTGAATTTAAGTCTTTTATGTGTGTATTTGTAGTATTGCAGGCTCCCGGAGAATATTCAGACAGACTGTCAGACGTAAGGGAAATGCTTTCTGTCACCTGCCAGTGTTTGTGTTTGTCGGTATTTATAGTTGTGTGTGTGTGTGTGTGTAGATATATCAGTGTGTAGATTGTATATCAGTATATGGTACTTGTACATCACAATTAATTTTGTCTTTAATAAACAGTGTGATCTGAAAAGCAAGTAAAAACCTCATAGGATTGATCTTTAATGCAGTTATATGAGAGTTAAGAAGAGTATACATATATATATATAATGGTATTGCTTTATTAAACATAAATTCAAATATTTTGATTATTTTTTTTAATGAGAAGATTTTAAGGTAGAAAATTCAGCCTTTGAGTTTTGATTCACCAGGGCAAATATGACTTGGAATAAGTGTATAATAGCTCACTGTAATTTAGGAAATGCAGGAAAAAAAATTGGTAGTCTTAGTAATAAAGAGCACTTAAACATAAATGAAACTGACAATTTTGGGCTAATTACAAAATGTGTTGCTTCAAAGCACACGTTCTTTATTGTAGTAATCAGTCCAGGAAAACGTAGCTTTCAGAAGAATTGGAGATGGTACCCCTCATAGCATTTACATACCCAGGTCTGTTTGGCAGCTGTCAAATTATGCTCCGAATGTCCAATCCTTATCCTTTGACCTTTAAGGAAATATTCCTTTGACCTTTAAGGAATTATATCACCAGTGCTGAAGTCCATGGATGAGGCCGTTCTAAGATTGGAGAGCCTGTTCTTCAGTTCACAGTTATACACATCAACATCTAGTGTCATGGATAACAGAACCAGAGGGCAGCCTATGGAAGGGGTTAAAACGTTATTTGATATTTTTATACTTGGGTTTCCTCCCCCTTCCCCACCATTGCCTTGTCCCCAAAGAAGAGCCACTGGCCTTAGTTGTGTGAGCGTACTGCTTATCTTGCAGTGTGTAAATAGGTAAGTAGGACTATAGCTGTATGAACCCACGTGTTTGGCATATTTAAGACAGCGAGTGTGTGTGAGTGAGTGAGTGGTGGAGGGCAGTGTCCTGTGTAGACACTGTGCCTGTTTTCGTAGCATCTGGTCCCCAGAAGTGGAGGGGGTGGTAGGGAGGGATCTTGCAGCTCAGGCTGTAGCTAGTGTGATGGCAGTTACCCCTGAGGGAGTTCTGGTGGTG